ATTTAACAAATAATTATTATTTTTTTATAAAAAATGATTAATATTTAAACTAATTAAAAAATTAATATTTAAACTTGATTTATGGAAACTTGAATAGTTGCGTCTTTCCAAAGGAAAAAAAAAAGAGTTAAATACCCTTTTTAGTCCTTCTGCTATTAAAAAAAATCTCTTTTTGGTCTTTGTACCAAAAAAATCTCCTTTTTAATCCTTAAATTTTAAAATCCAACCCCTTTTTAGTCATTCTGTTAAATTTTTGCTTATTTGACACATTAATTAACAGAATCATTTAATTATTTTTTATATAATTAATATTATAATTGATGTGAAAATTAGGTGGATAAAATTATGAAAATTAGGTGGATAAAATTATAGTTACATATAAGCATTTTGTGTCACATGTACAAATTAAAAATTTTATTTTTTAATTCATAAATGAATTTAAACGAAATTAACTATAATTTCTTCATCTTCTTCTTTCTCCTCATCCTCAACCTTGCCATTCTCTTTGCCATCCTCTTCATCATCCCTCTTCATCATCCTTCTTCATCATCCCTCTTGGAACCTAGTTTTGAGTTTTGCGCAGAACCTAGTTTTGAGTTTTGTGCAGAACCTAGTTTTTGGGTTCCGAGTGGAACCCAGTTCTGGGTTTCAATCCTTTCTTTTTAAAAAAAAAAATTTGAATGTATCTAAGTTGAATGAAATTAAAACTAAAATTTCATGTTTGGTTTTGAATTAGAGATGTTAAGTTCCGGGTTTGTGTTTGATATTTGAGTTTGAAATTGCTGGTGATAGGTTCATGTTGTTGCAATTATGTTACTATAAATTCATAAGTTGGTTCATACATGATATAGGTTAGCAGACAAAGAAAAGGGTTGAAAATCTGAGAATTTTATCTTGATTGAACTCACATGTAAAGGATTGATTATGAGCAAAAAACAAGAATTTTGAAAGAAAGAAGAGGATATCTAGAGAATTTTAGAATGTTTGATTAAGGTTTTTTTTATCCCTTCTTTGGGTGGACCAACTACTATTGCTGCTTGACAAAGTGAAGCAGGCATTTCTTGGCTTATTTCATTTGTGGTAACAAACTTGCTTCCTAGACTTTTGAATCTGAAAAATTGAGTTGTTGCTCTAATGTATGATCAAATTTTAAAATTGTTTCTCTTCACAGAATTCCTATCATGCTCTTATCAGTGATAATATGCTGAACTTTTTGTGATCTAGTAACTATGTGTTCTACAATTTTCCTTCGAAGTTACCTTTGTGAAGCACAATTTTGGTAGAAAGACGGGCATATATGTTATTTCTTAAAATAATTTGCCTTGCAATTTTTAGATGTTTAGACGCCAAATTTTATGTTAATGTTCCATTTGAGATTGACTGAAAAACCAAATATCACTCCCTTCTTTCTACCATAGGCCTTCGTTGCGAACCCGCGAGCTGGGTCCCTCGTGAACCCAATGAACCCAAGCTCTTGGGTTCGCTTGGAGGAAAAA